CAGGTATTCTTGGTGTTAGATCTCGAACGAATGGCCTCTTTTTCAAAATCTCCAAATCATTGATCAAAATTTAACAAACGGTGACGTGAATTAATATAAGAATATAATCGCTATAGGGACTAACACGTGACTCTAGGGAGTTAAAACTCGTACGGGTGGTACATTGGATGATTATCTACAAACCTTTTCCAACGGGATGCTATTATTATTGCCAGAAAGCAATGCTGCGCTATCAGCCTCTACTTTATTTACAGACCTCGTAATATAACAATAATAATTGTTTTTGAATAATAAAAAAAAATAATAAGTAAATAAATAATAACCATATGGGACAGATTTTAGAGGCCTCCCAGTGGAGGTACTACGGCAAAACTGTGAAATAAAATACGTACCATAACTATTTGATCATCACATCAGTGGGCAGTGACTACGATCTCATTTCATTGGTTTCCAAAAGTCACTTTACCTCTATCAAAAAATGTTGCACCCCAATACTTCAATAATTTAAAAATATGTGTGTCTGTAGAAAATAACGATGTATTCACCACCTGTAGATAACCGACAATACGGTTCTACCGGAAACTAATATCTTAATCAACTGTACCGAAAGTTGTTAATGGACATTGTACAACGTAAAATTAATTCTAAAAATTGTGTAACATTTAATAATTTAATTGCGTTACAATACAACGATACGTTTGGTCGAACGGTGTAAACCGCAAAGCACAGACAATCGGTTTTTTAGTCGATCGGCTTTCTATTTTTATAGTACTCATCTTGTAGATCCGCAAAAGCATCGGCAAGCCGACACGTTTATTCGAGCAAAGTTCTTTGAATTCTTCGTCAGTTATGTGTACGAAAACGTAAGGATACAGTCTCGTTCGTGACTACTTGTTGGCGTCTCACGTGTAATTATCACCGTAAATACGTAGTATACGTACATCGCTAACGTATATTACACCGCATTATAGTGCAGTTGTCTTGTTCGTTAGATCGTGGCAAAGGTTTGTGCACATGCGAGTGTGAAAACCTGTCGTATCTACACGCCGATTGAATTTACACTAACACACAATTCGAATTAAGTTTACGCATATGTTTCGAGTCACACGACCACCGCAGAAGCCCTTTTGTTTTCATGTCCTCCCCTTTTTATAAATTCGCTTAACTTATTCGAATATTAATATTAATTGCTCACACGCTAGCAAACGGCACTGATTATTTCACAATTGTTTTCTTATATCCTATAATGTTATATTAACTTTTTCCCATTCCGCGATGAATAGGCGGTAATTTTTTATATTGTTTTGTCTTCTCGCGATCTTAACTGTATGTTATTGGTATCAAACGCCTTATCCTTACTTTTTTCCTTACGTCCTTTGGAATTAGTCCTTTTCGTACAATAGTATATTCCGTTTGTGACCAACCGCATGCATTCAATAAGTGTATGATTTATAGTAATGTTGTTTTTATTAATATATTATAAATAATATAATATAAATAACTGTAGAATTATTGCACATAAAGTGATAACACAATTCTTAAGACTTGAATGCTTATTTAAATGAGATAGGAAGGCATTGTATTAGGTCCTAACCTATGCGTTTTAGTTTTTAGTTAAAATATTTTGAAAAAGTGAACTAAAACAATATCAATTAAATTAATAATGCTCACTACTTTTATGTTTTAAAATAAATACGAATTAAATATTTAGATACAAATAAAATCCAACTAACTAACAAATTATATATTTATTTAAATAATTAATTTCATAATAAAACTTAAATGTTATGATGTTAAATTATAATTAATGAATAGGATATTGCTAGTTCCTTTTTATTGTTTTGATCAAATTTTTCGAAAATTCTATAAACCATTAAAAAAACGATTCCACGGTCGTAACAATATAGGTACATGAAAAATGAAAATTTTCGATTCTCCAAAATTCATACACTTTATCAAGAAAAATAAATAATAATAACTGAACCGGATTTTAAATTTTTATTTACAAAATAAAATAGTTTAGTACTAACATAACATTTTGAAGCTATCAATGTACATTCACACTTGTTTTAACATAAAAAATGTAAATGATGGCAAGACGAGATAAATATTGTTTCCAAATTTAAATAATTCAGAAAGCTATATTGTAATAACTAGGGTTTGGATTTTATGCAAATGCATATTCTTCAAAATTTCACTTAGAATAATTTTGATTACAAATGTCGAAGTTTTATGTTGTTTTATGACGTTATGTCGCATTTTATAAATTCCTATGGATAATTTTTGTATTTGTATATTTTAAATATTTGAGGAACACTGATAATACATTGGATATTTCTATATAATTGCATAAAAAATTCATATTTTATAAATAATGAATAAAAAAAAATATTTTAATTACGTCTCTTAAAAAAAAAAAAATGAGGAATAGCTATAACCAGCTGATTTGTACTTATTTAAAAACAAGGTATGTTGAATATTCGAGAAAATACTGCACCTCCTAATTTATTCTAGAAAATCTTAGATAAATTTAGTTTTATTGTATTTTTATTTCATACAATACGTATGGTAAAATGGTAAATGCACCATAGTTACGATACCGACGTATAATTGGTTTTATTTGTCGTTAAGTATCAGGTCCTGATGGTTTATTTTTCATAACAAATATTCATCTTAGTTACCGTTATTATTGTTATTGTTTATTGCTTTAGTCTTATTTCCACGTATTACATTCAAGTAGAATTTCGCTTACAATACATTGTGATTACCAATAACAGAAGTCACCAGTTGATCAACGTCTAGAGGTATCATATTACAATCTTTACGTTCAAAAGAGATTGCTTTTGGGTTCGTACTATTATTTAATACTTTTGGATTATGGTTTAGTTTAGTAATTTTTAGAAAATAACTATAGATAAACATTTTTTATTTTTTTTTAGTAAAATCATCAATACTTACGTAGTACAAATGCAAAATATAATTTAAACGATTATCAATCTGATTTCGGCCATGTTCGTATTACATATATATTATGTATGTATGTTACGGACAACATATTAACATTTGAACAACGTCGTGTCGAAATTAGCCATACACTACAATTTTATATGTATTATTTTATTTTATTGAAAAATTTTAAAACACTTGAAAACTATACGCTCTTAAATTATAAATATTATGCACATAAGCGTGTCTACGGATCGCGCCTTTCGTGTAAACGTATGACTAACACAGTTTGACTTTTATTGTACCAATGATAGTTTAAAATTATGATTTCAATGAGACGACGTTTAGAATTTTAGTAGGAATTAAGCACATTTATAATAATATTAGTATATGTAATACTATGTGATAATGTTTTTTTTCGGAATTTGAAAATTATATTTTCTTTCCCTTTGGGTAACTAAAGTAACTATTTGTCTTGTGAACGATTTACTAAAAAAAGTCTGGACACATCTAAGATTACGCAGATGTGTGAAAATAAACTTACTACAGTTAGGTTAGATTAGGTTGTATAACAAATAAAATTACAACTAAAATGTTATTGCATTAAATCAAATACTAAATATTCATATATTTTAGAGTATAATTAATATAAGTTATATTATAAATGAATAGAAATAAGTTATTCATTCTGACTGAAAGTTCGGCCTTCAGATTAACCTCGGTTCGTAAATATGATTTGATACGTTTCTGACTATTTATTTGGTCTACTTATGACCGATTTCTTATTGTTCTCTAGTTTTTCTTTAATTTTTCTTAAGTACGATTCTCAAACAAATATTGTCGTGTATAATTTAACAAATTGTTTGTGTTAATGTTTTCGTTTGGTTTACCATTAAATATTTCCAAATAAGTAAGAACTTTCACCAGTGACGCCGATGTCTGTTTCATAAGATATTCGTGTAAAAATAATATCTGACTATAATTGCAACGAAAGGCCAGTAAATTGAGTTATAACTAGGGACCGGATTTATATGCAAATGCATATATGTATTGGAATAAACTTTTTGAAATCTGATGAGTATTGTCCCTTATTTAGATCTTTCTTATTAAAATAACAATAATTTTACTTTGCATATTTTGCATATATCAACGTTTTTACCTATTAAATGCATATTCAATGAATTTTTGTAGTTTTATAGTGCATATTATTATTAATAGCACATATGTTCGTTTTCGTCGTATTTTTTACGATCACAGCCACATAATATCGATAAAATTGCGACCAGTCATTATTTCCAAAGATAAAATTATATTCTCATATCGTCCAATGCAATAAGGTAAAATATGAATTCAATTTTTGTTTTCACTTTTTATTAACGTGAGTATTTATGCTATATAGATTGAAGATAAAGAATGTTAAATGGCGACAAAGACGACAAAATATTTTAAAAGCTTTTTTATACTTTTTTTAATACCGTATTCATTAATGATTATGTTTATATTTATAATAAATTTCACATACTTGTACATAATTTTAAACAAAATTTTAATAGAATATTCAAGTAAATATTTAAAAATAAATACATATTTTATTGCATATTACCGCATTTTTAGAAGCATATTTTGAGGATTTTTTTGTGCATATAAATCCGGTCCCTAACAGTCTTTTACACAAAATCCAAATGTCTATAACTTGTACATGCAGTACCGGTGTACCCCTGTTCACCACGGGACCATCCACCTCGATTAGACATTGCATCCGCAATACGTAGGGATCGGAAACTCGTTGTGTTTTTCCGAGATGGGACTATCGTAACTCGTAAATTTTTGCACACGTTCGTTAGTTTTCAAATTAATATTTTTTATTTTTAATTCATAATAACATGTACGATAACTGCCAAACGTAGCTTAGAAAAAAATGATCACTATTATTATTGTCATGAGTTACCGGTAGACAGTAAACGGTTATAACAACAATTGTTAATTGTCAGTTGGACTGTTAACCGTTGTAAGACGTGCTGTTGAATTTGAACGTTTCGCCTTGCAGCCGTAAGATGTTTACATTGTCTAAACTTTCTTACATCGTGTGCGACGAAGACGAGAAGTTCTTCTACGACGATCTAAACACAATGCCAATCGAAGTAAAACAGTGTTGCACTGGTCTGCTCAGCTACATCCAGAACCGATTCAACGGCGGGGCCAATGGTAATTAAAATGAGAGAGAGAAATCAAAAACGATACGTGACGAGGACGGTGGAAACGTTGGTTATTTTTTTTTTTAAATTGTATTTTTTCTCGTCGTCGTACTTCGCAGCAGCGGAACATGGTAGTGATTCTTGGCCTACGTCGTTGATCACGGACGCGGCGTTCCACGGTCACTTGGAATGTATGCAATTGGCCGAGAGGTTCCGTTTCCCGTGGACCGTGGACGTGTGCGAGCAAGCGGCGGGCAACGGGCACCTGGACTGCTTGGCGTACGCGCACCGCCAGGGATGCCCGTGGTCGGAGGAAACGTGCGAGATGGCCGCCGCGAACGGCCGGCTCGAGTGTCTGGCGTACGCGCACGAAAACGGGTGCCCGTGGGACGGGTCGGTGTGCGCGATTGCGGCCGTGAACGGTCAGCTGGAGTGTCTGATGTACGCACACCGCCAGGGTTGTCCGATGGACGAGACCGTGTGCGAGGCGGCCGCGACCACCGGCCACCTGGAAGTGCTGAGGTACGCGCACGAGAACGGCGCCTCGTGGAACGCGACCATCTGCCGCGACGCCGCTTTCCGCGGCTATCTGGAGTGTTTGCGGTACTTGCACGAGCACGGGTGCCCGTGGGACGCGGACACGTGCGAGTACGCGGTCGAGGGCGGCCAGCTGGAGTGTTTACGATACGCGCACGAGCACGGGTGCCCGTGGGACACGGCCACGTGCGAGGCGGCGGCCCGCGGCGGCCACGTCGAGTGTCTGCGGTACGCGCACCAGAACGGGTGCCCGTGGGACGAGAGAACGTGCAGCGCGGCC